CTACGAAGAATAATTTCAGTTCTTTTCTCTTCTTAGTTTTGACTTTGAAGTTCTTTACGATTTGAGGTATTTGAGTGAATGCTCTTAATCTATATGCCACATTCTTGGTTGTGGAGCTCAGAATTTCACATGACATCCTTTTCTAGCCAAAGAACTATGTGGTTAATGCACCATCCAGATAAACTGTCTTTTCCTGGGACATCTACATGTTTTACATCTTCTTGGGAGCTCAGTGGGGTCGGTTATCGACCGTGGCTGTCAGCCACTCTACCACATTCTCCCAGATGGCTTTTCAAAGTGACCTTTTTTCCCCCTCAAATCTCTTAATCTCCTCTACCCAGCAGATGACTGCTCCGTATTTCATTGTGAAAACAGATGCTCTCAGGACCTCCCTTATCTCTCTGGCACCAAATCTACCTACTTACCTGGTGGTCACTCGCCTTGTCTACCGTCCTTTGTACTACCTTGGAGGAAGCAGCCTCCACTTGCACTTCACACCCTCTCTCCTCTCACTTGCTAAAGGATTTTGATTCTGCAAGTATCCTTGTATTTATATCAGGAATATTAGTATCTAATTCTCTATTCATATCTGACTCTTTATATTTTCATCAGAATATATATAAACTATCTTTTATCATAGGGGAAAACAAACTTCAGCTTCTTCCTCAATTTATAGTTTCCATTCATAGCAAAAGCTCTTACAAGAATTCTCTGTTAGTCCTTATATTTGTTTCCTCATGTTTTCTCCATAGCTTTCAATCAGACTTTCCTTTCCACCCTTCACCCCATGCTCAGGGTTGCTAATGTCTTCCCTGTTGCTAAGTTCAGTGGTTAAATTCTATGCTTTAATTTTACTTAATCTTTCCCTGAGATTTGACCCAGAACTTCCTTTGTAAAATATATTTCCTTTTCTTTCCCCTCGAATTCTGTTGCACTATGTATCTTTGAAATCCTGAAACAGATTGTTGTGCTCTTGGTGTTCTCAGGAGAGACTTGTAAGGGATCAAGACAGGGAAAGAGTCTAGGCAAGGACTTGGTTTCAGGTAAAACTGAGGCTCCGTCATATCCCACCAAAGCCCTGGAGCAGGCCTCGCACCACACATGTAAAGGGCCTGGGCTGTTGTATCCCTGCATCTGTCATGGGTTAGAGGCTGTGTGGGAGTTGAAGTACAGGCATAACCTCCCATGCTCACTTAAGTAAGCTCCTCCTTGCAGTCAAAGGAAACCGGAGAAGGATGTAGGAGAAGGTCTTCAACAGAAACAATTTATAGTAGCTGATGATTGAGCACTGGCTCAATAAAAGGCCTTGGTTTACCAGATGCTTTAGGTGTCCTGTCCTTCCCTTATTATTGCTCAATAATGTTTATCTGGCCACTCTTTCTCAATCTCTTCCTCTACTGGGCCCCATCTTCTCCCCACACTCATCCTGGGTTTTCTCTTACCATCCCATGTGATGCCTTTTACTTACCAAAGGCTCACAAATTTGTCCTGTGGTCGTCACTATTTCAGAGAACCCTAGAATTGCTTTTACAGTTGCATTGACATTTCCATTTAAGGACCTAAAAGGCATCTTAAGTTTAACATGGACAAAACAAAACTCTTGATTCCTTATCCCTCCTCCAAAACTGCCCCTGTTACAGTTTCCCCCATCTTAGGTATTCAAGTTCCAAAGTTAGGTGTTATCCATGATTCTTCTGTTTCTCTCATATCTCACAGCCTTGTGGCTCTTCATCCCAAACCCACCCACCTCTCTCTTCACCTGCACAATCGCCGCCTTCCTAGCCCACGCCATCATCTCTGGCCTGGACCGCGGCAGCGATGCGTCCGTGCTCTGTGCTTCGCTCTTTGCTCTCCCTGCAGACTCTTCCCTAGGGAGCTGCCTGGTGAGCCTGGGAAAAGTCACGTCAAATCCTATTACACTTCCATCTAAAACCCTACAGTCATTTTCCCCTGTACTGAGAGTAAAATCCCAACCCCCCCCGACCCTGGTTTCCAAAACCATGCATACGCTGATTCAGGTGTATGTGTCCAACCTCACTTTTGCTGGATGTCCCTTTACCCACTCCCTTAGCTATGTTGGCCACTTCTAAAGACACACCAGGAATGTTCTTGGTTTGAGCTCTTTATTTCCGCTGTTTGTTCTTCCTTATTGTCACTTGGATGTCAGCTGAAATGTCAGCTTCTAAGCCGGGTTCCCCAATCAACTAGTTCTTATCTTCTTACTCTTTCATTTCTCTGTAGAGCACTCATTTGTTTGTTATTTTTATTATTAATCTGTTTAATCTTTTATTTATTAGGTTGTTACCATCTTACTGTTACTGTGTGTCTTGAAGGCAAGGATGTTATACATCTTATCTGTACGCTGGATGTTTTTAAATGAGTGAATGGTGACCCATCTGCCTCTTTAAAGATGGTTGCATGTTCACTTAGACTACGGGCATTTTTTTCATTATTTGTTTATGGATGTATTTCTAAGCATCATAAAACCCACTAAACCCCAAAACTAAATGGGAACCCAAACCCTTTATAGTCAAGATTGATTATACCCTGCAATTTCCCTTTGACATACCATGAAATCGACTTACTGTGTTACGTTCATATATCTGGGCCATCCACTTAGATTCTGCAAATTACAATGACAAAAATATATCTAACTCATAGATGAGAACTTGCAGTATAACATACAAAACGAACATTATATATTTCAAGCTGTTTCTTGTTTAACTTTGCCTATTTACTTTAAAAATGTATGTCACCATCTCTTTTTGGGGAGACAGTTCACCATGAGTCTGTCACATTTCTATACCTCTTAGAAGCAGAAGCACTGGCTGCCTTTCTTCTGGACTAAGTTTTCAAGGATGTCTATATAACAGACATCTTTGCAAGTTAGAGACAGTGTTTCCCTCTGGAACAAAGGGTAGACATAGTTACTGCCCATTATAAAATATTTGGGGTCCCTAAGCTCATGATTTCTCTTCTGTAACATAACCCACTTCACATCACAGAATCATCTCTTTGATTTCTTTGTATTGCCTGTGGAAAAAGTAGTGATATTCCGGCCACTGCTATTGCTCTAATTAATAAACCATCTTTTGTTTCTTTTCCATGGATAGCATATTTTCTGTCAGTGTTTATGAAACTGTGTCACGTTCACTTCTCAGTTTGCTGGTCAGGTGAAATATGGTACATTTCACAACGCCTCACACCCCTGCACCTCTCATCAGTCCTCACAGGGGGCGTTTGGGACTCTTAGCATTGGTTGAATGTTATGCACTGTTCATTGAATTCAGATAAAAAGGTGAAATCTACCTCCTTTTGAGAAAAGATACATCAAATAGTCACTATGATAGCAATAATGGATCCATAAAGAGGCCCACATCCTAATTCCTAGAACTTGTGCCTGTGTTAGATTGTGTGGCAAAGGGAAATTTAGGTTGATAGTCAGCTGACCTTGAAATGGAGAGATTATCATAGAACATCCAGGTAGACACAGTGTAATTATGAGGTTTTTAAAGGTGGAAGAGTCAGCATCAGGTGATGCAATTGAGGAAGATTGAACCAGCTGGCTTTACAGATGAAAGGGGGACTAAAAACCCAGGAATGCAGACAGGCTCTAAAAACTGGATAAAGGAGAGAAAATAAGTCAGACCCTGGAGTTTACAGAAAGAAACACAGCTTTACCAACATCGAGATCAGTGAGACTCATTTCTGCTTTCTGATCTCCAGAACTATAAGGTAAATTTGTATTGTTTTAAGCCTCAAAGTTTGTGGTAAATTTTTTTGTGTGTGTGGTAATTTGTCATGGCAATGAAAGGAAACTAATACCTTAAAGGCCTCTGGATTAAATCTTTTCTTTCAAATAACTACTTGAATGTATTTTAACTTCACCATTATAAAATAGAATAATGCCTCCAAGATGGTAGATGTACTATATTTTTTACACTAGGATAATGGTAACTCTCAGACAAAAGCATATATGGAAAAAAACTTTCGCCATAAATTCATAGAATAAGAAATTTCCTTGTAAATATATATATACTTCTTTACATTAATTTAAATAAATGTCATACATCTATAACAAGTACAGATGACATTTAAATAGAAATTGTAAATTGTCCAAATTTTCTTCTCAATTATTTTTCTTGTCTTATGTAAATTCCTTAGTTTGTTAAAACTCTTAATGAATCCTTTTAATATTTAATATTCAAATTCTAAAGTATGCAGTTGGTAATTAAATCTGAATGACAAAATATGTTTGAGGGTGTGAAACAAGGTTCTTTTTGTATCCTCGGAAAGTACAATTTGATTTCATATCAAAGAAAATTATGTTTTAATGAACAATCCTGTATCACTGATTTGGATTTTAGTAACAAGGAGGAACTTTTTCTTAATATGTGCAGTTCTTCGTATGTCTGACCAATCTTTTATTTATAGGACAGGCAAATATGTGGCAGATCTTTTCTACCCTATTTATACCATTTCTATAATTGCTTTGTAAACTTTGTGACCACACCAAGTGACATCCAAGTTAAAGGGCCCTTTGCTGTATCCACATTCTAGAGCACATATTGGCCTAAATGAGATATCTCGTTTGGGAGTTGTATGCCAGGAGGACCAGATCTTAGGCTCTGTTTAGGAAGTTAGTCCCTGTGCTAAGTGTTTAGTGGTTTGATTCTATGGGTCACAATGTTAGGATACTCTTGTGTTGCTCAGGTGAGTTACGAATGGATTATCAGTTTTTAAATACCTTTGGAATAGTTTGTAATGCAATTTGAATGAAGTTAATTGCTCTATTAAAAATTAAATTGTGCTTTAATTAACATAAAGTGTTTGAGCTGCCTCATTTATAAAGATAATCTTAGGTAAATGAAATAATTGTTCAAGATTATCTGAAAGTTTTCTTAGGTTGCATAGATCTGATCAAAGGAGCTTAAATTATGTCTTTTTCTTACTTGAAGATGGATAATGTATGAATGCATTAAATCTTGATGTGTTTGCAGTTGGAAGTACTAAATCTGGGAAAAAACCTTTTAGAAGAAGTTCCAGAAGAAATGAAATATCTCACATCCCTGAAGAAGCTCCATTTATTTGGAAACAAGATCTGTAGATTTACACCTGCAGCATGTGGTAAGTTACTCAAAGAAGAGCAGCATAATAGTGTCAAATTTAATCCCTCCTATTTAATAATACGGACTGACACAGCAGTGCAGGTCTATGGTCCCACCTGTTCTGAAGGCTGCGGTGAGAGGATTGCTTGACACTAGGAGCTCAGGCAACTATGATCACATTATTGCATTCCAGCTTGAGTGACAGAGGGAGATCCTGTCTCTCAAAAACAAACAAACAAAAAAGATATTTCTTAATCTGCTACATTCTTTGGCCAGGTGTGGTGGCTCAAATCTCTAATTCTAGCACTTTGAGAGGCCAAAAAAGAAGGATAGCTCGAGACCAGGACTTTGAGGTCAGCCTGGGCAACACAGTGAGATCCTTTCTGCCCCAAAAATAATAATTAGTCTGACATAGCTGTACACACTTGTAGACCAGCTACCAGGGAGCTGAGGAAGGTGGATCACTTGAGGCCAGAAGCTTGAGGTTGCAGTGAGCCACAATGACACCCACTGCAGTCTAGCCAGGGCAACAGAACAAGAATCTGTCTCAAAAAAAAGAAAAGGGGGGGTGAGGTGGGGTGGGGTGGGGTGGAGTTCCGAAATGAAAAGAATTTTATATGTTTTAATCTTTTGTTGCTGGAGATATGTATGTACTACTTTCGAAATTAAGGAATTATTAAGGCAACCTTTTTTTTGATTGTTGTATCATATATTTACTTATATGTAAACCCAAGAAAATAAGTAAGTATTAGTGTTAATTATTTTCCCCCTTGAGGAATCAGTGTACAGTCTGATTCTTGAATCTGGGAGTCCCTTTTTCGAGCCAGAGAGAATTGTCTTTGAAAATCAAAGCAAGGGACGCTCTTCACAGCTATCCTTCTTTTCACTTTTTATTCTGTCTCCAACATTGTCACATTTTTTGATCAAGATGCTAAACTTAAATCAATTCAGGAAGAATTTTGAAGAGAAGATATGAGATTCAAAAAGTAGCATTATTTTCTTGGCATTTCTGTAAACTAATAATTTCTTCATTCGATATGACACTCTTATTTAATAATGATACGGTGAGGTTAAGAACAGATGCAGGATAAAGAGTTTCGGATGATTTTTATGGCATTATTAACTCCTCTGAGGCACTTTATCATTTTCCATCGTGGTCCCTAATGGCACAACGCAAGTTGTATTTAAAATTTATAAATCTCTGTGAGCTTTTGAGGCATAAGTGCTATATATAATCGTTGTCATCTTCAAGCATAATTAAATAAGGGTATTATCATATAAAGCATTAAATTAGAGGTTAGAGTTGGCAAATACCACAAATAGATTCTAGTACCATCATTTTAAAGACACCTTAAAATCTTAGATTAGGCTCAGCACCTGTGGCTCAAGCAGCTAAGGCGCCAGTCACATACACCTGAGCTGGCGGGTTCGAATCCAGCCCAGGCCCACCAAACAACAATGATGGCTGCAACCAAAAAATAGCCGGGTGTTGTGGTGGGCGCCTGTAGTCCCAGCTACTTGAGGCAGAGGCAGGAGACTCGCTTGAGTTCAGGAGTTGGAGGTTGCTGTGAGCTGTGATGCCACAGCACTCTACCCAGGGTGACAGCTTGAGGCTCTGTCTCAAAAAAAAAAAAAAAAATCATAGATCATGTATCTTGGAAAAAGTCTTTCTCCAAAATAACTATAACTAACAATTATTGATGTTTATTCACAAAATATATACAAAACCATAGGTTTAGAGTCTAATTACAGTTTCCTTAAGAAGAAAACAGTTTACACATAAAAGACTTAAGGCTATGTAAAAAAATAGACAAAAAAACTTTATGGTCTATGCTAAGGGGGCAAAATCAAGCACAGCCTGGTGACTATGAATAATATGGGCATCCTAATTTATGCTAATTTAAAGCTCTATTATATGGAATGTTTTTCTTATGTTGGTCTTAAATTTGAGGTAACAATACAGGTATATGTATCTGTATATCTATATCTGTATCTATAGATATGTAGATATATATTATATTTATATGTGTATAAGATATGTATTATATTTATGTGTGTATAAAATCTATGTACACTGCCGGGCAGCACCTGTGGCTCAAAGGAGTAGGGTGCCAGCTCCATACTCTGGAGGTGGTGGGTTCCAACCCAGCCCCGGCTAAAAAAAACCCTGCAAAAACAAGAACAACAAAAAATCTAGGTACAGTGCCCTTGAGTGTCTTTCATTTATTTGTTTTTTGATTTTTTGATTGTTGGGTATTCAAAATCCAGTGTGACTGGCACAAAATGTTCTATGTCGGGTACTGATTATACAAAAGTGGAAGGAGTTTGATGTCAGGGAGTTGAATGCTGACCAGCACGGATCTGGACAGCCTTTTAGTATTACATGCCTCATCCCCTGACCAGAACAGACTAGACAGGGCTGTCCACAGGTCTCAAGCTGAGTCAGTGTATTTTCTCTGTTTTGGGGCTTGTGATACCATCTAACACAGTTTAATAGGGGTGAGATAATCACATGACCCGAAATAGAGGTTGCAAACTGGTGGCCCATGGGCTGAATCTGATTCATCAATAAGGTGGTCCTGTCTTTTCAGCCTTTTATCAACTTTGAATTAAGTGTCCAAATTTTCAAATCAGAGGAGTTCACATAAAAGTCTGGATCCCTGGCTTTTGGGGATGTGTTTTTAATAAGAAAGATTAGGGAACACTACCATCACATTTCTTTTGGACAACAGTGGTGGTCATGTCTGACAAGGCAGAGAGTTATCTTCTTGATGACTGTAGGGGTTTGATTTTGACAACTCTGTTGTCTTTGAACATTCAAACTCAGGAGATGGTTACGAATACACAGAAAAACAGAGCAAATATGTTTAAAAGGAAAAGACTGTGGGGGAGGAGTGGGAGGGTATAAATATGAGACGGAGAGAGACCGTAATGAGAAACTCAGCTCTGCATTCTGCAGAGATGCTCAGAGAGCCCATTCCTGGGTTTCAGGTGCCTTTCAGGTTTTTGTTCCAGTTTGTAATGAGCCTGGTTGTACCCTCTGTCCTCTTTCCCGAATGTTGGAACTATGTGATAAATTTTCTCCTTTTTTCTCAGTTCTGGAGGCTCAGAAAAAAAAAAAAATTCCCCCTTTTTGCTTGAGCTAGTTTAAGAAGGTCTCTGTTACTAGCAACCAAAGACTCTTGGCCAAGGCAAGAAACCAGAAGGAAAACAAAGGGTCTAGAGAAGCAATTACAAAGTACCTAACGGGGGCCAATGTGACTCAAATTATTTTCTAACAGATGGCTTACAAAATTTGATCCTGCTTAATCTGAACAACAATCAGCTCACGTGGCTTCCTCAAGAAGTCAGCAGGTAATTTTGTTTATAGTGAGACTTGGCTAACATCCCCACGCGGGTCATCTGAAAGCGTTGTGCCTCGCGCGAGTCCTGGTGGGATTTGTACCTAACAAAGAGGGATCTGGAGGACTGAAGCGAGCCGCTAATTTTAAGCAGATGATTCCTTAAACACTTCAGAGACATGAGAAATGGCATGACTGGGTAGTCTATGTGTAAATTCTGAAGCTGATGGTCTTATTGATTTCCCAACCCTGAGGTTCTAGGAGTTAGCTTGGCTGCAGAACTGACCACATTAAATTTTATTTCACATGAGACTTGTGAACCATTTTGAGCGTGATGGAAAAGGTAATATAAAAGCAAGTGATTGAAAATGACAATGTCATTTTCATAAAACAAAACCCTGTATTTTCTTGACATTAACCAAAAAAACAAACGTTTTTCCCCTTAACCCACACATCTGCACTAATAAGCTGCCATTCCAGTGCCTTTCTGCAGCCAGCCAAGGGCCTGGCCCTTCTGTAGGCAAAATGCCCTCGTGGGCCTTTGTTCTGACAGATGGAGAGAGAACTCTGCTCAGGTTTACTTTGGAGACTCTCTTTATTGCCTGTTGAACAGAAACAGATGTATTATAGAGTAAGAGCATCCAGAGTTTTAACGGAGAATACAAAACTATAAACAGTTCTCAGCCCTGGACTTTCTATGGCACCACAGTCTATATCAATTCAATAGTCTATACCTCAAGCCAATATATTATTTTCCCAAGTAGATTATTACAGGGAATGTAATATTTTAAGTCAGCGTAGCTAGGAAAAACAATTGAATCGATTTAATTTCTGTAGAAGGGGATATATTTACAGTAATGAAAATGCCAATAGTTGTCTACTTACTTTTTTACTTATTCATCTTATTAATTGATATGTGTATTGACAATGATATAGTAAAAAAGATCCAGTGAATGAGGTTCAGGCCATATCTTTGTGCAACTAATCTTGTGACTTTGGGCAAACAATTTAATGGCCTTGGACCCCAGTTTTAACAGAAGAATTTTGAGTAGATGAACTTCATAGTCCTTGCAGCTATCCCCATTATGATTTTACAACTTAGTAAGCTTAGCTCTGTTTAGAGTACAAAGTGAAATGTTCAAAGAATCAGAAATCTGAGGTACTATGTTAGAAGGGTAAATGGAAGCTTTCCTTGAAAAAGTAAGATTGTGACGTATGTAGATGTGTGCTGTTTTATACCTAATTCTGGGTTGTGTTCTGACTGTGCCCCAGACGTAAGGGATTGGTCATCTCCTTACACAAAATTCCATTTTCTGGCCCTGGGAAAGTTTCCACAACTTCCTATACCTTCATGTATTAATATGCAAAATGAAGATGATAATAGTATTTAATCCATAAAGGTATTTAGGGTTGAGCTTGGGAAATAAAAGGTTTTAGGGTTGAATAAGTGCTCGATGGATGTTAGTTTTTATTACTATTGGTCATTATTTTTCTTCTATTTTTCTTAATTAAATTGCCTTGACAGCCTTTGTCAAAAATCAGTAGACCATTTATACATCATTTTGTCTCTATTCTGTTCTATTGATCTATTTTTCTATCTTCCTTAATCCCGTTGGGCTTCTATAACAAAATATCATAAACCAAGTAGCTTATAAACAACAGAAATTTATTTCTTGCAGTTCTTGGAAACTAGGTGTTGGTAGAATTGGAGTCTGGTGTGGGCCGATTTTGGTTCACAGAATATGGCACCTTCTCCTTATGGGTTTACCATGATGGAAGGGGCAAAGCAGATCTCTGGTGGGCTTCTTTTATAAGGGCAAGAATCCCATTAATGAGGTTTCTACCCTCATTACCTAATCATCTACTAAAGGGCCCATGTACCAAAACTATCACATTGGTGATTAGGTGTTAACACATGAATTTTGGGGGGACATTCAGACCATAGCCTCTATGCTATCTTCATTACTATAGCTGTATTGCAAGCTCTGAAATCAGGTAATGTGAGCCCTTTGACTCTATAACTCAATATTGGAAAAATTAGCATATTGGCAGTATTTTTTTCTTTTTATAATGAACATAATACTTCTCTACTTTTAATTAGTGCTGCATTAAATTTTCTCACTCATGACTTATAGGTTTCATGGGAAAGGGGCTTCATGTCTTTTATTGATTTCATGGAGTTTTTTTTTTAATGTTACTATAAATGGAATTTCAAACTTATTTTCTAACTGTGGCTATAATAGAGAGACATGATAGATTTAAAAAATATTGACGTTGTAGTTTATGACTCTACTTTTAACTCTGCTAGTTTTGTTTGATTTTAATTACTTCTCTTTAACATTTAAACCTTTGACCATCTCTTTAATTTTGAAATATTATTCTCCCACACCTTCAGGAACTCCTTGTTAACTTGGTTCTTTTTCTATTTCTCTGCTTGTGACTTCTCTGGGTGACTTTCATTTTTAATGATCAGGCGTTCATATTTTCAAGAATCTTCCCTGTGGCTTCCTCTCTCGGCCCCCTACCTCTTTTCTTCTGTTGTTCTTCACATCAGCCTTCTCTACTCACACGGCCTCTACTGCTACGTGTTAGAGTCTGACCCTAAATTCCCTTCACTGGCATTGATTGGTCCTCTATCTTCCAGCCTCCCATTTTCAACTGCCTAAAAATTTCACCCCTTTATTCAATTATTACTGCTATCTCAGTACAGTTCTGCTTCAAGGTCATTATATATCTTCATGCTTAGCTTTGCAAATAGACATGCCTGCATTTGAATTTCTTTTCTTTTTTTTTGAGACAAAGTCTCAAGCTGTCGCCCTGGGTAGACTGCCATGGTATCATAGCTCACAGCAACCTTCAACTTGGGCTCAAGCTATCTTCTTGCCACAGTTTTCCTATTTTTAGTAAAGATGGGGTCTCGCTTTTACTCAGGCTGGTCTGAAACTCATGAACTGAAGTAATCCACCAACCTCGGCCTCCCAGAGTATTAGGATTACAGGCGTGAGCCACTACTACCAGCCCCTGCATTTGAATTTTGACACTGCTATCTACTAAGTAGGTAATTTGAGGAAGCTATTTACTACCTCTGATCTTTTGTGGGGTTTTTGTTGTTGTTGTTGTTGTTGTTGTTGTTTATTTGTTTTTCATTTCTAAAATAAGGGGAACAATTCCAACCTCAGGGTTAGGCTGAAGATTAAATCTAATGCACAGGTACTGAGCATGCACAGGATGCTCAGTAATGGGAATTCCCTTCTGCTGCTTTCTTCATAATATCTTCTTAATTTCCTACTTCCTCTGCTTGCCCTATTTTACAAGTTCTATTATTTAAGGCCAAATTCAAAACATCACTTGACATTAATTCCCAATTTAACTTGTGATTTGCCATAGGTACCATATCTGTAATTACAGACTCAAGTTTTCTTAACCTTTCTCCCCATCTGATGGCATTTTCTTATAGTATTTCCTTCAAAATCATGATATCCAAAAGAGCAGAATCTTTGCCTGATTCATCTATGCAACTTCCACAGCAATGCAGCGGTACTCACCCCGTGTGGTACTGGATCTGTCTGTGCCTACATTTCTGTATGCTTCTACCTGTATCTCTATCTATCTCCATGCATATGTGTGCATATATATGCCTATGTCCTCCTCTGCCCCCTAGCTTCCTCATGGCCATTGTGTGTGTATAAAGGATGAAAATAGAATTTTATTTGTCTAAAATCCAGGTTTTGGTCATATAACATACTTTTTTAAATAACCGTCTGATTACAAAATATCTTTAAAAATTAAATTTCAGCAAATACTTCTTATGCTCACATGGTTTATAATAGTTGTAAAGCCTTGACTGAAGTAAGGGTCAGATGAGTAAAAAAATAAATAGACACATGATTTCTGGTAAGCCATTCCTATACAACTAACTTTCTTATTCTTGTGATTTTCATTCATCTGCCTTTTTTCAGATTAAAAAGTCTTACATATTTGAGTATAAATCATAACCAACTTTCCAGCATTCCTCGAGAACTTTGTTTCCTTAAAAATCTTTTCGATCTTCAACTTAACTACAATAACCTTATTTGCCTACCTGAAGAGATTGGGGTCTTAGAGAATCTCCAGAAGCTTTTTCTGGCCAGAAACAACATAGGAAATTTGCCAGAGGTAAGCAAAACGTGGGGTCACATTTTCTTTTTCTTGTTGGGGGAGAACTGATTTCATTGCCATGGGAGGTGGTTTTAGATTAAGTTTGGTTATCTGGGTACATTCATTACTTGCTTTCCCAAATATGAGATGTACCAATTCCCAAATCCCTGTGACAGTGCGGGGTTCTAATTTGGATTATTTCGCATAGCTAGGGCTTCCAGATTTAGTAAATAAAAATACAGGATGCTCACTTAAATTTTAATTTCAGATGAACAATGGATACTTTTTTTTGGTACGAGCAGTTCATAAGTATTACCTGGGGTATGATATACAAAAGTTAGTTATTGTTTGTCTAAGATTTGAATTTTAGTAAACACTGTATATTTTTTTCTGGAAACTTTATATACAGGACAAAATACAAATATTTTGGCTTTGGAATATGTGCTGAATATCTTCCATTTTTTCTCTCCTTCTCCCTCCTGCTCGGTGCTGGGGAGTCTGAACTATAAGGCATCAGTGAGCTCCTTTGTCTTCTGATTTCCTCTTGCATATGGCCAATGGGTGGCATTAGCAGGAAGTGAAAGGGCAGGAGGATGGTGAATACCCTGGCCTCTTTAGGCCTTGGTTGATAAAGAACTCCCACTTCTAGCTTTTGGAAACTTTGTGGGTCAAGGGAAACCGCTTTTCTTGGTTTAGGGAAACTATTTTCCTAAAGCTGGCCAAGCCTTTATAAATAGTGCCTTCATTAAACGCTCTTTAAATTTCCCAGTTTGAGAGTACTTTCCTGCTAGGGGCCTGTCAATGGATTTACCTTCTCCCTTATGTGATTAGAATTAATTTGATATGTAATGCATGTTATACCAGAAATTGAGGAATGAAAAGTGGCAAATCAGTAGAGTAAACATATAAATGGAAACTCCCTATAGTTTGATTTTTTTCTCAAGGGTAAATTCACTTCAAAATTCAGACATGGTGCAATGGCTCATACCTGTATTCCAAGCACCTTGGGAGGCAGAGGCAGGAGGATCGCTTAAGGTCAGGTTGATGAGCAGCCTGAGCAACATAGTGAGATGCTCCCTGTCTTTATAAAAATAAAAAATTTAAAAAATTAGGTGAGTATGCTGGTGCATACCTTTAGTTCTACCTACTTGAGAGGTGAGGCAGGAGGATCCCTTAAGCCCAGAATTTGAAGTTTCAGTGAGCTATGGTTGCACCATTGCACTCCAGACTGGGTGATGGAGTGAGACCCTGTCTCAAAAAAGTCCCAAATTTTGTATATATCACAATGTGACCTGTGAAAATATGCCAGAGTGGTATAGGCTATATGTTTCAGAAAAATTTATTCTTTTTTTTTTTTTGTTATGTATTTATTTTTGAGACAGAGTCTTACTTTGTCACCCCAGGTAAAGTGACATGGTATCTTACCTCACGGCAACCTCAAACTCTTGGGCTCAAGCGATTCTCTTGCCTCAGCCTCCCAAGTAGCTGGGACTACAGGTGCCCGCCACAACACCTGGCTAAGAAAAATTTATTCTTAAGTTTGTTAACATCCTAATTTCTATGAACAAGAAAATATCTTGAAATTGCAGAATAAAGCTATTAAAATTCTAACCCCTTTATTTGAGGGAAAAGCAAAGATAGCAATAATAGCTTCATCTTAATGAAGCACTAAATTATTTATTATTCATAACAGCTCTGTGTCATGTCTCTTCTTATCTATTTTCTAGAAAAAGGAACAGGGAGGTTGTATAGTAGCATCTGTTTCAGTGCCTGGTATGCAGTAGGCATTAAATAAATTGTTGCTTTATATAAAATCTAAATTCTGAGCCAGGCAAGGTGGCTCATGCCTATAATCCTCGCACTCTGGGAGGCCGAGGCGGGCAGATCATCTGAGGTCATGAGTTCGAGACCAGCCTGAGTTAGAGTGAGACCCTGCCTCTAAAAATAGCCGAACATTGTGGTGGGCGCCTATAATCCCAGCTACTTGGGAGGGTGAGGCAAGAGAATCACTTGAGCCCAGGAGTCTGAGATTGCTTTGAGCTATGATGGCACAGCACTCTACTCAGGGTAAAAAAGTGAGACTCTGCCTCAAAAAACAAAAACAAAACAACAAAAAACCAAACTCTTCAACACAGCATAGCAGACATCTCTTGTTTTGTTTTTGTCTCCCTAGCATCCATTTCTGCTTCTTCTCATGGTGTCCTCATGATTTGACATTGTGAAATCTTCCTTTCCCTAATCTACGTGGTTTGCCCAGTATTGATTTGACCCACTGGTCAGGTCAGCTCTGGCCAGTTAGAATAGTCCATCATACTGGCCATAGTGATTTGTTTAAGGATAGGCATATGGCTTAAGCTAGTCCAAAGATATGGAACTTTGCTGGACTGATGGAAATAAAGATGCTATTCTTTGCACTGGTATTGCTAACTGGAAAGGAGGTAAGTCCAGACCTATTGGTGTCTATTCTGCAACTCTTGGAAGAGTCTCACTTTCCTGATGCTCTCACAAAAGAAAGAGATGATGACCTTATAGAGCACCTGGATACAGCTTTATACAATGTCAGTATTTTTTTGTTTAATTTTCCCTATTACCTCAGTCAGTTTACCTATTTGTTAAGTTGTGTTGAGTTTCTGTTCATTTGCAACCTAAAGGATCTTAAGTAATTCACATGGCATTCGTGACTATTTAACATAAATGCATTCATTAGAGGCCTTTCATGCCTTCATTAGAGGCATTTATTTAACATAAATGCATTCATTAGAGGCCTCCTCCTTCCTCCATACTCTTGGCTCCCTCTATGATTTAGCCATATTAGATATATGAGTTAGTGCTCTCTAGAGCGCTGTAACCCATAAATTATTTTCATCAATCAATAGATAGACAAGAAAGTGTTGTTAGGAGAATTGGCACATGTGATTGTGGAAGCTGAGAAGTCCCAAAAAGCTGTATTTAAACTGGAGATCCTGGGGTGCTGGTACTGTGGCTCAGGCCAGGCCTGAAGGACTAAGGAAGCCAATGTGTAATTCTCATGTGGAGGCCATAGCCTGAGATCTGGGTGGGGGATGGTAGGGAGTGGATGGGGAGGCGTGTGAGGCATGTTTTAATCCCTAGAGTCCAAAGGCTGGAGAGTCTAGGGCTCTGATGTCCAAGGACAGGGAAGAATAATGTTGTAGCTCCAGAAGAGAGGGAGGAAATCACCTTTCTTCTGTTTTGTATTTTTTTCTGTCCAGATCCCCATCCTGTTGGATGGTGCCCAACCACTTCAAGCAAAGATCTTTCCCAAGGAGTCCACTGACTCACATAACAGTGTCTCCTGGAAACACCCTCACAGACACACTCAGAGGCAAACCTTTACTAGTTCTCTAGGTATTTCCTTAATCCAGTCTAATTGACACCTACAATTAACCATCATACCAGACTTCTTTTGTTTTGTTTTCTTTTTTTTTTGAGACAGAGCCTCAAACTGTCACCCTGGGTAGAGTGCCATGGCATCACAGCTCACAGCAACCTCCAACTCTTGGGCTCAAGTGATTCTCCTGCCTCTACCTCCCAAGTAGCTGGGACTACAGGCGCCCACCACAATGCCCAGCTATTTTTTGGTTGCAGCCATCATTGTTGTTTGGTGGGTCCAGGCTGAATTTGTACCTGCCAGCTCAGGTGTATGTGTTTGGTGCCTTAGCCACTTGAGCCACAGGCACCGAGCCCATAGAAGACTTCTTATACTTCTAAATTATTTCCTCTCAAAGGACCACTATATGCTCCAAAGATCTCAAAAAATCTCAGCTTGAATTTCCCTTTTTCTAAGAATCTTTCTTGACCTAATACCAAATGTCCTATTTTCTCCCTGTATTATCATATCCGTAACCCTTAGTATTCTCACAGCACAACTTTGTTATTGCCTATATGTAAATTTTAAATCCTTCATTAAAGACTTGTGGGGAATGTGCAGATGCAAAGAGAAGAAAAAAGACAATAACAAAAATAACAACAGCAGTAACACTAGCAGCCAAGGCAGCAATAACAGACAAGAGATAAAGAGAGTTAACAGCAACAGAAGGAACACTGTCAAGTGTCTCAAGTAGTGTGGGAAGCCCCGTACCTTAACATGTGGATACTGAGAGAATGTACTGGAAGTCTGGGAATCTCCATAGCAAATACAATACTGAGGAATGTCTGATGGCCATGGAACACTACGTAAGACCTAAGTGGAGGACCACTTGTATGGTACACAGCAGATGCCCTTTTGAAGACTTGCACTTAGCTGTAGGAAGTGGTGATGGCAGACAGCCTCCAGCTGCCAGCTCTTTCAGGGTCACCTTTGCTCCAGTGAGCTCTTTTCTTGTGAAAGGTCATGTTTTCTAGAGCATTCCATGTTCTGTGACTGAGCAAGAAAGAGATATAAAGGCTTTGCCATTTATAGCTAATGGAGAACAACTTGAGTGGGCAATAGCCTCTGTAGAGCTCCCTACTCAGTTGAGCAAGGTTCTAAATTGGTCTGTATTCTACCTGAGCCTCCCATCTGTCCAATCCTGCTTCCTGGTCCTGCCTTTCACTGGCGTGAATCTCTAATCTCTAGCACTTCAAATTCCATCTCAGCATATTGCAAGGGTACGTGTCAAATCTATTAAGAGTATAGTAAAAATGTCTTAAGACAATAACATAAGTGAGGTGAAGGTTATAGTAGCCAGTTTGATGTAAGCATTCTAAATTGTATATAAAATCCTCACATTGTACTCCATACATGCATTAATATACACAGTTATGATTTAATAAAAGAAAATCACACCTCTACCACTCACTTGAAAGAGATTTTAATAATGAAAAACACAAAACAAATTCCATCTCAGCATCTGTTTCCAGAGAATTCAACCAGTGATAACGTGTGGGGAGACTGAAGAGGGAGTTGCATGATTAAAGAGACATCCCATCTCCCTAGGGGGAGGTTTGGCTGTCAAAGTATGAGTGACATTTCAGAAATACTTCTGCAAGTGGTTGAGACTATTTATTTTTTATTTATTTAGAGACAGAGTCTCACTATGTTACCCTCAGTAGAATGCTGTGCTATCACAGCTCACAGTCACCTCAAACTCTTGGGCTTGAGCAATTCTCTTGCCTCATCCTCTCAAGTAGCTGGGACTACAGGTGCCCACCACAGAGCTTGACTATTTTTTGTTGCAGTTGGACTTGTTGTTTAGCTGGCCTGAGCTGGTTTGAACCCACCAGCCTTGGTGTATGTGGCTGGCACCATAACCACTGTGCTACAGGTGCCAAACCAGTTGGGACCTTTTAGTAAGTTACATCAGTAGTTTTAATTTTTTAAATGTTTTGGATGTTTCTAGTTTTTAAAAGAACTATTTATCTTTTTCTTGCTGGTAAAAATACTAGAATCCATAGGCACCATAACAACTACGTGGTTACTGTGTTAATGCAGAGTCACGCTGGACATGTAGCTAGAGACAGTAACAGATTTCAGTTCCTTTATAAGGAAAGGGTTGCTTTAGCACAGTGCTCAGCAAGAGGCAGATGCTTAATATGTCCTGGTGGACTTGCCAACAGAGACAGTATTCCAGGATTACATCCATTTTCTGTTTCTCAAAGATTCTTTCCGTTTTAATATAGCCAGTATCTATTGAGTAATCACCACATATTAGATCCTTTAGACCTATAAATGCACTTTCAAATTGGTGTCCATTCAACAACAATGTTAAGTTGGGGCTTCTACTGAAATTTCCATTTTATAAATGGGGAAATTGAAGTGCAAAGAAATTAAGAAATTTGCTTACAGTTAGTGATAGTAATTATCCGGAGTGAGGTTCGAGTGTAGAATGTGTAGTCTAACTCACAGCTACCATGTTATGTTTTCTTGGAATGGTCCAAGGAAATGGAGAACTCAAAGACATCTGACAATCTGGGAAAAGGGTATTTTCTTGGGAAAGATAGGCTAAAGAATTCAGTAGGTAATTAGAAAAGATGGTCATCTCCATTAAGTTTAAACTTAAGAAAAGACTAATAATGTTAAATATTAAATTTACAAAACTCTTCCTCTCTCTTTTGTTTTCTGACACAGGGATTTTGTCACCTTAAAAATCTGAAAATCCTAGACATAGCTGGAAACATTATCCAGATATTTCCGTCAGGAGTAAGTAGAGTCAATTTCTATTATAATTGAAAAATAATTTTGTTTATGCTGTTGGGAATAGAAAAATACAGGTAGACATTAAAACATGTAGTAACTTGAACCTTCAATTATACAAATGACTCAAAGATTTGCTTCCTTTTAGAATTTCAAAACCTGTGCTCTCCCCTTTTTTTCTTTGTGTTCTGTGCCTGCTGAACTTGTTTGAACCAAGTGAACTCTTATTGCTATCATAAATATTTTAATATATCAGCTATGATTAAATTTTTTTGTTATTACACAGTGCTTTTGGTCACCTCAAACTTTTTGAAAATATTACTTTCCAGAGCATAAATTTTTATCCCTTGTAATTATTCCAAAGGAGACATTTCTGTTAGTTGTTTTAAAGCTATAAACAATGAAAAATGCATCACTTTTCATTTGGAAATGAATTTTGACCTTGTTTTATTGCAAATAACTGAGAAATGGTCTGTCCTGGCAACTTCTAACTTTTGGGAAAGAAATAGTAGTTTTTCATATCCCATTTTTATATCTAAGTGAACATCTTGAGCATTCAAGGTAATAATTAGAAGACCATCAATCTAGAGTGTCTTTGATAAACAATTATTGGTACATGAATTGTTTTTTGATTGATCTATTCCAGATTGAAGTATCAATCCTTTTCAGCCTCTATATTATACTGAGGATCATTCAAATATGAAAAAAATGAGTGTAAAGTTTATGTTTTAGAAAAAATATATACAGGTTTTATTGTGGTAAAATATTCATTACCAAATTCACCATTTTAGGCTGCTCATATTGTGATGGCTCATACCTGTAATTCTAGCACTCTACGAGGCCAAGACTCAGGATAACTTGAGCTCAGGAGTTCAAGACCAAGGCCAGGCTGAGCAGGAGTAGACTCCATCTCTACCAAAAATGGAAAAATTACCTAGGCTTTTGTGGGGATTTGGGCTATAGTCCCAGCTATTTGGGAGTCTGAGAGGCAGGAGAATCACTTGAATCTAGGAGTTTGATGTTGCTGTGAGCTAGGCTTAAACCATGACACTCTAGCCAGGGCAAAAGAATAAGACTTTGTTTCAAAAAAAGAAAAAAATTACCATTCTAACCATTTTTAAATGTATAGTTAGTGGCATTAAGAACTTTCACATTGTTTCTTAACTATCATTTCCAACCATCTCTAGAACTTTCTCATCTTCTCCAAATGAAGCTCTGTGTCCATTAATCCAATCCAATATTTCTACCACCTGCATACCTCTCAGCTCTTCTTTATTTTGGACAGGAAAGAGGTTGGTGGATTACTTATAATTATCCTAAAGTTTTGAAAGACAGAAACATAAATATGTACTCACCTGATGGTTTTATTATCTAAGTTACATAAAATAATTAAAGTGGTTCTGTTTAAAATTTTTGAGTGTGATACTTCTTGAAACAATCCCCAAGATGAAGTCTAGGCTTCCTGCATATCTCACAGCAGAAAATAATTTCTCTCTTTCCACCTTTCTCATTTCTTGTGCTATAAACCACACAATCCTTTGTTGATTTTTTTTTTTTTCATTTTACATTACGGAATGCATCTTCCCACTTAACCTTTCCTCAGTGTTAGAACATGATGGTCTTCCCCTTTCTTGAATTTCTGTTCCTCACATTGTTTACAGAAATCTGAGTCAGAGTTCTCCTTTAATAAAGGCATGTCTGCACTTCTTGCCATTTCTTTTTCTTATTTAATGAATAAAGGATGTTGCTGTTCACAATTGTAACTTCCATCAGCCAGAAGAATAATTTTTCCACACTTTGAAGACCTCCTTGAAAATCTATAATATTCACAGTACAGATCATCTCTGTCCACTCCTGCCATAAACTTTGTGTATTCTGAAATAGCTGTTGGTTTTTTTTAATTGAATAGGCTGTTTCTTCCCATAACTGGTGATCAGCTGTTTTTGAGGGCCAACAAGTACTTGACATTGTCACTGACCTCTTGTTATGGTATGGGAAGCTCATCATTTTCATCTCACAGTGATAGGCACCTAATTCATGTTCCTGAAGTTTCTTGTTTTTCAGATTACTTGGAAAATCCTTCCTAGAAGCCATAACTGTTCTTCTGATATGCATTTTTTTATTTTATGTAATTTCCGAGAAAGTTGAGAGCTTGTGTAGAAGAGAAAGATTGAACCCTTTCTATGTGTTTGCAAAACTCATGCCAAAAGAATCACTACTTGGGGTGTAAATAGAAAATCAGGGTGAATAAGACTTCTTTTGTTGTCTTGCCATAATAGGGAATGTGGGAAAACATATAACCATTTTCTGAATTACACAAGCAAAAACTTCATAGGCCCCACTTTGTAGGCTTCTTTGGACTGTAGCACTTGAATCAAATTCTTCCTTTGATACCTATTGTGCTACATTTCTTCCTGGTATGTAAGGTTCTTTGCATTTATTGTCAGTATACTCACTAGCATTCTTTACCTTGCTCCCTTGGATACCTACACTTCCGTGAACTACGACAGGAAGAACTAAATGCAGCAACCAAAAGATTCGGAAAAAATGGAGATGTGAGAAAACATCCTTGAAGAATGAGGTTTGGTCTACTCAGTCTTCAGTACAATAGTGAACTAATTGCACCTTCAAATTAAGAGCCACATTCAGTATTACACCAAACAACACCTTCATTTCTTCTGATGAACATCCTCCCACCCGTGCCACATTAGGTATTTTGTTAGTGGAGTCACCTTCTGTATTTTTTCTGCTGCATACGTATTTTCACAGTCACGATTTCACCAATACAATCATCTGAGAAAAAGAGTGGGAAATATTCAAGTCCAGTTCTTGGCCAAGCACTTTGAGGAAAGGTGAATCTCTGTTAGATCCTTATAAAATCATCCTCACCAGCACAATAAACATTTTAGCTAAAATTTACAGGTTGCATGTTAACATCACTTTCGTCTTCATCACTAACTTCAGAGTCACTGGAACTAGGATCACTGAATATAGGAGGTGTCTTTGTGTTTATTTTCATTGCTAAGCTCTGCTTTCCCCTTACTGTCCTCAGAAATCTATGTTGTAATATCATCGCCACTTGCATACCTTTTCCCTGCCATTTTCCTACAAGTACAGCCAGTTGGATACAACGAACAATCACCTGCTCACATGAAAACATGTGGCCTGCCAAGAAACTTAGACAGAGTCTGCACTATTTATGGAATTTATACTACAGAAGGAAAGGGCTCACACAGGCTCTGACAACAAGACCAGACAAAAAAACCCAACAACAACAAAAAGAGTGTCGGATGTCTTCTGACATGGGAGTGGAGCCAGAAAATCATTATGTTGAATGAGGATCAGAACACTAACTCCACTCCCTTTGTAGCATCTGTCTTAGAAATATTCCAAAATAAGATATTTCCCCCTCCTTTGCAACCACAAATCTACTCTCTCTATAAATTTGGCACGTGTAGGTACCTCATGTAAATGTAATCATACATTTGTCCTTTGTGGCTGACTCATTTACTTGGTATTATGTCTTTAATACGCATCCAGGCTGTAGACAGCTTAGAATTTCCTGTCTTTTTAAGGCTGAATAGTATTCAATGACATGTATATACCCATTTTGTCTGTCCTTTCACTGTGGATGAACTCTTAGGTTGTTTCGACCTTTTGGTTATTGTGAATAATGTTGCTATGAATGTGGGTGTACAAACTTGTTCTAGTCTTTGTTTTTAATTCCTGTGTGAATAACCATGAAGTCTACTTTCTGAATTATATGATAATTCAATGTCTAGTTTGTAAAAGAATCACCACACTGTTTCCAAAAATATCCAGATTTGAATGTTGGATGTTGAATGTTGTTAATATTGATCTCAAAAATGCTTCATGATTTTCTTTATCCTAGGGGTCTTAATTTAACTCTATATGTCCTGTGATGCCTGTCTGACCTCCAAAGCCACCTTCTGGCCCCATTTCTTCCATTGTACCACTATAGCTTGGCTGAATGATGGGGCAATTTCTTTCAAGTCTGTCTTGTTCTTAGACTTCAAGCTTCCAAAGAAAGGAATACTCTTTTTCACTGCTATACCTTGATTTCAACTCAAATATTTGTTAAATGAAAAAAATTTAGAAAATGTTCTTAATCTTCATTTAATATTTACCTGAGTAGTACAATTAATTGCCTATTTCTTCTACAAAGTGATTCTGTATTTATAGTTTTTAATTGACAAATAATAATTATGCATATTCATGGAGTACATATGCTATTTCAATACATATGATGTATAGTGATCAGATCAGAGTAATTAGTGTATCCATCATCTCAAACATTTATCATTTCTTTGTGTTGAGGACATTCACTATCCTTCTAGCTATTTGCAACTATATAATATGTTCTTGTTAACAAAAATTATCTTATATAATGGTATAGAATACTAGAATTTATTAAACCTGTATAGCTTTAATTTCGTATCATTTAACAGATGTATTCATATACCTCCCTTCCACCTACCCTTTCTAGTGTCTAGTATTCTCTTTTCTACTTTTTACATCCAATTTTTACAAAACTTGTTCTATTAGAACAAGAAACTATAGATAGTTTCTATACTTAGTTTCTATTTATTTATTAAACCGTTTCATTTAATGCACATATTATTCAAAATTCCTGGTTAAATGGGGAAGAAATGGATTAATACCCGGAATCACACCCTCTCCCTAGACTTAACCAAGAAGAAATAGATGGATGAATAGATTAATTTCAAGCACTTCAAGAAATAGATGGCTTGAATAGATTAATTTCAAGCACTGAGATCAGAGAAACAATAAAAAAATCTCCCAACAAAAAAATGACCTGGTCCAAATGGCTTCACACCAGAATTCTATCAAACCTTCATAGAAGAGCTCATACCCATACTGCAGAAATTATTTCAAAAAACTGAGAAGGAAGAATCTTCCCCAACACGTTCTATGAAGCAAACATTACTCTGATACCAAAACCAGGGAAAGACCCAACTAAAAAG